TTTCTGAAGGGGGTCAGCAATGGCAGTCTCCATATTTAAGGGGCTAAATAAGGGTAGACATACCAAAGGTAGTATGTGAAAGAGTTTTCCTATTGAAGCCAATGTTTTCCACACCATTCTTTGTTGCTTATTTATTCTGCTTCATGTTATCCTCTTTTTCTTTAAAATCCAATAAAATTAGCTCCATGGTAGGTTTATATACAAGTTATAACATTGTAAGCTAAGCCCCTTATCTTGTTTTAGTCACACCTGTGGTAAGTTGAAATATTGTCAGTGTAGCGCACTACTCCCATAGGATCTGCAGAAAACTGTCCGGGTCCTCCCCAGTTACTATGCCCTGCAGCCAGGCACATAGGCTCATTCACACGTTTCTCCAATAACCTGTCTAGGGGTGTTGTTTTAATTTTTTGAAGAAGTGGAATACTCCAAATTAGGAACTATGTACATAGAGGACTTTGACTAATCTTCAGAGCAAGCTATATTAGAGTCCATGCTTGAATCATACAATGGACTTTAGTTTTAAGCAAAAAGTAGCAAAAAGTAGTAGCAGTAATGGCAGCAATTTCTTTAGAGCCCTAAAGCAATGTCCCTTTAAGTAGTAGTGGACAAGTGGACAAAGTTATTCGGAACACCAGCCGGTATTCCACTTGCTAAATCCGCAGCGGACTTCCTAGCACCAGAGGGGGTTAACAAGCCTGTAAGATCCGTACAGATGTCTGTACCCACAAGGCCCAAGAGCCTCTGTGATACCAGACCAGAACTTCAAGAGACAGCCCCTCAGTCAGCATAGCAGAGCCTGGGTCTCAGCAATTCAGACCCTTAGGTAGCCCACCTAAGGCCTACAGTAGCAGCTGACTGGGAGGGCCACATGCCCTCCTCTAGGCTTGGACAATTGTAGCCAGGAAAGACCCAGAGCCCTGTGTGCTCACTGAATTTATACAGATACCCAGCATGCCGCAGAGCCCCTATCTCTGGGATAAGTTGAGGCTATATCAATATTCATGTTACCATCTGCATAACTTTACACCTATCATCCAGGAAACTTCTACAGTTTCCTGGTTATAGAGGAAGCTAGGCAGACTAGCAGCACCTGAGCACACAGAGCAGACCTAACTAAATGATCACAGCTCACCCGGTACAGTGAGCTAACTATGCTTTTACCTAACAATAATTACAGCCACTCTGCCTCTAGAGTGACAACTAAATTTACCTTTTAAAAAACATAGCTAATCCTATCTAACTAATCCTAGCACCTATCTAGGAGGGTGCTACATCAGTAAACAAGAATTTACATATTTGAAAACAGGCATCTTTCAAGCAAAATGTAGAAAATGCTAACAGGTACTTGGAGACTTTAGATAAAGCTTGCTGCCATGCAGCCTATGCACCTTGAATCAGATCTAAACTAAAAAAAATTATTTGCTATCTATATAGTGAGTAGCTACAAATGTTAATTGTGCCTAAGCCAACTCCTAAACTCATACCTTTTGCAATGGATTCCTCTGAAAATAACAGTGCCCCTGCTATACTTCGATTCTCAAAGTTGTTTATCTGCAGTGTAAGTTTATCTAAGGTGCTGCTAGCCTTGCGAGATTTGGAGCGAAATCTGGTGACCTTACCACTGTGATGCTTGCTGAAGAGGAAGCTGTACCTGAAAATCTGGATCTTCCTGCTTCTTCTCTACCCATTCTGTGGATCCATGCTTTTTGTACCTCTTCAGTTGATTCTTTTTTTTCCATGCATTCTTTATTTATGAAGCAATGAAAATTTCACAAAGAATAAAAGTCATAATGATTCGTACAATAAACAAGATAGCAAGACATCTTAGAACGACCCATAAAAGCAGGTGCAGACAGCAAAAACATAGTCAATGCTCTAAAGAAGGGTGAGTCAACCAGTTGTATGTGAGAAGACCCTAGCAGTGTAGACCCAAGGACATTGAGCAGGCCAGATCTTGAATCTTGCATCAGTTTGAAAAACATTAGTATGAGATAATCAAGACATCTAAAACAAGATGAATCATCATACCTATAAACGAGCAGCACAGTGGCTAAATGGTTAGCACTTCTGCCTGGCAGTACTCGGGTCGTTGGTTCCAATCCCAGCCATGGCACCACCTGCCTGGAGTTTGCATGTTCTCCCTGTGCCTGCGTGGGTTTCCTCCGGGTACTCTGGTTTCCTCCCACACTCCAAAGACATGCTGGTAGGTTAATTGGATCCTGTCTAAATTGGCCCTAATATGTGTATGTATGAATGTAAGTTAGGGACCTTAGATTGTACACCCCTTGAGGGTTAGGGACTGATGTGAATGTACAATATATATGTGTAAAGTGCTGCGTAAATTGACGGCGCTATATAAGTACCTGAAATAAATAAATAAATAAATGAAAAAGAGGAGGAAAGAAGGAATGGGAGGAGAACGGCTTACAGAGAGGTGGGCAAGGAGGGAAACTGCTGCAAACGGGGAGCCCTAAGACCACTAAGGGCCAAGTAGTCTACTCATAGCAGAAAGAAAGACCATAAAATGTGAGGTCTTGTTACGCCAAGGGTGACAAAGACAATCTGGGGAAAGGAGGAGAGGAGCCAACTAACAACTGTTTGTAAGCATCTGTGTTGGTGAAGTGCCACCAACAAAACCATGTATTATGGAATTTTGTGGTAGTCCCTTTAAGAGAGCTTGTTAGATCTTCCATATGTTCGATATCTTGGATTCGTCGGAACCACTGTCATAAGGTGGGGGGCGAAGGTGGCGTCCATAGTTCTGCTGATTCTTGAATATTACCCCAACAGTCGTTTGCTGCCCAGTCATTAGCAGGGCAGTTCTGACATGAGAAAGCAAAGCCCTGTCCTCTACCAAGGTGGCTGTTTTTGCACAGAAAAAGTCAGGGAAAGGATCAGTTTTAGGGAGCCTGCAGGCAATACCAGTGACTAGTCATTTGCTCTCTGCTTTCTCTTTTTGGGCAAAGCTTTCACAGTTCAGGCCCTCTATAGCCAGCCGTACACTAGTAGATTTTCGAATAAACATTCGTAGGAATGTTTTTAATACATTCAATGATTTGACAAATGCTTTAAAGCTGACAAAGTTGACTTGACAAAGTACTTTAAAGGTTTGTTTGCTTTTAACATTCAGTTTAGGAATGAATGGACTCTACCAAATGAAAACCACATATACTGTTAGAAATTTGCTCATTAGAGAAACATTTTCTATCCTGCTCCTTCAAATTTTCTTTTCACTGAGGTAAAAAATGGCCATCGGTCTGACCCCAGTAATGATTAGAAAATCCAGCAAAACATTCTTTTCAAACAAAACTCTACTAGTGTATGACCAGTGTTTAACCCATAACTCATTTAACAACATAGTATTTCTGGCTGACCTATGGAAATCATCATAACCAATCCAATGGAAAAAATGGGCTTTCAGATATCTGACTAGGGAAAAAACTTTCATAAGTTGATACATGATCCAATATTGTCTCCTCTCTTTATGGTGAAGGTTTCTCTCTGGCCTCGCTTGTAAAGGGCAATGGGCAAAAAAAGTCTCACATGGCCCATTACCACTTTCTTCTGGGCATTCTCCAGAGTTCATCTGTATTACATACATTTAAATGTAATGCAGAGTCTCAATAGTGTTTAAATAAGAAAATATCATATGTAATGCTTTACTTGAAATCTGTACCCATAAAGCACTGACAATTTTTTAACAGCTTAGTTGGAATCTCAGCCCGAAGGAAAGCATTAACATCAGTGCTATTATGTGTATAGGCATAGAACAGTCACAAACAGTAAATGTGTGGCCATTGAACAGATTGTGTCACTGTTATACAATCTGGCTGGCAGACTGGCAGTCTTCCTCTGGAGATGCCTTTGTGGACAGGCATCTGACACATTTTCTGCATTGACTTCATTGTAATCTCTGCAAACTGTAAACATTGTACAAGAAGGACTGTTTACCGACTACAGTATGTGTGGGCTTGCAGTGTCTTAATTTGTACTAAAGATCTTGTTTATTGAGCATAATACAGGGAACAGGTCTTCTTCAAAGTTAGAAATTGTCATTACTCAGCTGTAGCAGAAAAAAATTAAATTCAATTGGCCAGTTTATGGGCCACTGACATTGTTCAAGGATAATGGACACCCAGTTAGATACCAGGCCCATGGAAAAATTCATCAGATCATTGCTATATTGGATTATATGGCCATTACGTTTTATGCCCAAAAGTATTTGCACACCCCTGATATGATTGAGTTTAAAGAAATGCCCATAGCGAATAGGGAAGAATGGAAATAGCGCAGGGCATACATGACTAGGCCCAGAGTGGTGTAGGGAACGAAAAGGGTTAAATTTAGCTCCAGGGGGTGGGGAATTGATTGGGGAATTATAGGATTGGCAGATGTGGAGTGTAGGAGGGGTCTGTGGCACCTTAGAGTGGGGGGTTCTGTGGAAGGGGCGTCAGTGGAGCTGGACGTGTGCAAGGACCAGAGCTTCCCTCCCGCCCTCCCTGTTTGGTTGGGTATAGGGCAGTGATGGAGAACCTTTTTGAGCCCGAGTGCCCAAAACTGCAACACAAAATCAACTTTTTTATTTCAAAGTGCCAACACTGCAATTAACCACTTGCCTACCGGGCACTTCTACCCCCTTCCTGCCCAGACCAATTTTCAGCTTTCAGTGCTGTTGCACTTGACAATGACAATTGTGCGTTCATGCAACACTCATTTTTTCACACAAATAGAGCTTTTTTTGGTGGTATTTAATCACCACTGGGTGTTTTATTTTTTGCACTATAAATGAAAAAAGAGCAAAAAATTAAAAACATAAAAGGTTTTCTTTGCTTCTATTATAAAATTTTGCAAACAGGTAATATTTCTTCTTTGATGTGCGTTGGTGAGGCTGCACTAATAGGCAGCACTGATGGGCATTGATGAGGCGGCACAGATAGGTAGCACTGATGAGGAGGCACTGATGATGCACTGATATGCAGCAATGATGGGCATTGATAAGCGGCACTGACTGATAGCACCAAATGGAGGCACTGACAGACGGCACTGATCGGCAGCACTGCTGGGCATCATCGATGGGTGGCACTGATGGGCAGCATTGATGGGCGACACTGCTGGGCACTGACAGGTGGTACTGCTGGGCAGCACTGACAGGTGGCACTGCTGGGCAGCACTGACAGGCGACACTGCTGGGCACTGATGGGTGACACTTCTGGGCACTGATGGATGACACTGCAAGCAGTTAATCTCACCTCTGGCAGTGTCGGTGTGGCTTCCAACCCAGCAGCTCATTCCCATACATGCTGAACACATTGCCCCTGGCCCCGGAGCAGTGTGGGAGCCTCTTCCTCTCTTCCACGCCCATCCCCGGCTACATCACCCCTGGTGCCAGATCCGCATAGGAGCCGTTTCCTCTCGTCCACACCCACCCTGGCCCCAGAGACATGTGGGAGATGTAGTTTGATGGGGGTCCAGTGTGGACGAGATCTGGATGGCCGGTCAGTGTGCGCTCATCTTCCTCTTCTTCCTGGCGTGCCCACTAAGATGGCTCTGCGTGCCAGCTCTGGCACGCGTGCCATAGGTTCGCCATCACTGGTATAGGGTCTCGTCCGGGGGCAGGTAAGAAAAAAAAAAAAAAAAAAAAAGAACATCAGTTGGAAAGGGTTTTTTTTCTGTTGGTTCGCGGGCGGTTGTTGGTCTTTGGAGGCGGTTCTCATCTTGGAAGGTAAAACAATGGTGTGGGACCCCATCCGTGGTATGGGGGGCCCGGTGGATATTCCCAGTTAACCAAGGTTTAACTGGAAGGTGGTGGTGCTGCACTGCGGACGGTATGGTTGTCTCCGAGCTGGTTGGTTGCGGCTGGAGGCCTAGTGTATAGGGTTGTCCGCAGGTGCATTTTGGATCGTTTGTGGGTGCCTTTGAAGACCAACAACAATTCTTTGGTTTCCGTTAAGGAACGGTTGATGTATGTTAAAATGTGAAGTTGTTAATAAAAGGCCATGTTGGCCATTTACTCCAAATGGTGTCATGTTTTTTGTAAAGTTTATTTGGTTAAGGGGGTGGGGAGTGGTATGGATAGGTAATGGTGGAAGTAGGAGTGGACAAGCCTATCTATGGTGTATTAGTCATGTTTTTCTTTGAAGAATACTATTAATGCTACAGTTTACAAAGACATTTTAGACATTTGTTCGCTTATAACAGTTTAGCAAGGGTCCTTTCTTGTTTAAGCAAGACTGTGCCCCTGTGCACAAATCCAGCTCCGTAAAGAAATGGTTTGATGAGTTTGGTGTAGAGGAACTTGAGTGGCCTTTCACAGAGCCCTAACCTCATCCCTAAAAAACATCTTTTGGATAAATTGGAATGTCGATTGCAAGTCAGGGCTTCCTATCTATGTTCTCGGCAGGCACATCAGCATTTGACATCACAAATCCTGTTTTGGCTGAATAGACATAAATTCCTACAGACACGCTCAACAATCTTGTGTGGAGAAACTTGAATGGACTTCAAAGAACCCTGTTCTCATCTCTACAGAACATCTTTGTGATAAATTGGAACGCCGTGTTATGGACAGGTTCATCAGTACTTGGCTTCACAAATGCTCTTTTGGCTAAATGGGCACAAATTCCTACAGACACACTCCAAAATTTTAGCTTTACTAGAAGAGAGAAGGCTGTTCTAGCAGCAAAGGGGGTCCTCTACATATTGACACTCATTGTTTGTTATGGGATGGTCAACAAACACATATAGGTGTGTTGGTCAAGTATCCACAAATGCTTGGCTGTAGAGAGTATAAGAAGCTCTTGTATTTTATTCCCTCCTGTGCATCACTTTGGGTGAGTAAATGTGATCAGGTCAGAATTGTTACAGTGGGGATCGAAAGTTTGGGCACCCCAGCTAAAAATTTGTATTAATGTGCATAAAGAAGCCAAGGAAAGATGGAAAAATCTCCAAAAGGCATCAAATTACAGATTAGACATTCTTATAATATGTCAACAAAAGATAGATTTTATTTCCATCATTTACACTTTCAAAATAACCGAAAACAAATAAATGGCGTCTGCAAAAGTTTGGGCACCCTGCAGAGTTAATATCCTGTACTGCCCCCTTTGGCAAGTATCACAGCTTGTAAACGCTTTTTGTAGCCAGCCAAGAGTCTTTCAATTCTTGTTTTGAGGTATCTTTGCCCATTCTTCCTTACAAAAGTCTTCCAGTTCTTTGAGATGTCTGGGCTGTCTGTCACGCACTGCTCTTTTAAGGTCTATCCATAGATTTTCAATTATGTTGAGGTCAGGAGATTGTGAAGGCCATGGCAAAACCTTCAGTTTATGCCTCTTGATGTAATCCCCCGTGGATTTCGAGGTGTGTTTAGGATCATATCCATTTGTAGAAGCCATCCTCTCTTTAACTTCAGCTTTTTCACAGATGGCATCAAGTTACCATCCAAAATTTGCTGAAATTTTATTGAATCCATTTTTCCTTCTACTCGTGAGATGTTCCCTGTGCCACTGCTGCAACACAACCCCAAAGCATGATTGATCCAACCCCATGCTTAACAGTTGGACAGAGGTTCTTTTCATTAAATTCTGTGCCCCTTCTTCTCCAAACGTACCTTTGCTCATTCCGGCCAAAAACTTCAATTTTAACCTCATCGGTCCACAGAACTTGTTTCCAAAATGCATCAGGCTTGTCTATATGTTCATTTGCAAAGTTCAAACGATGATTTTTGTGGTGAGGACGTAGAAGAGGTTTTCTTCTGATGACTCTTCCATGAAGACCATATTTGTACAAGTATCTCTTTATAGTGGAATAGTGTACCACAACTCCAGTGTCTGCCAGATCTTTCTGGAGGGATCGTGCAGTCAAACTTGGGTTTTGAATTGTTTTTCTCACAATCCTGCGAGCTGTTCTGTCTGATATTTTTCTTGGTCTTCCAGATCTTGCTTTAACTTCCACTGTTCCTGATGACTGCCATTTCTTAATTCCATTCCGAACAGAGGATATTGACATCTGAAAACACTTTGCTATCTTCTTATAGCCTTCTCCAGCTTTGTGAGCGTCAACTATTTTCAGTTTCAGTTTTCTAGACAACTGCTTAGAAGAACCATGGTGCTGATTGTTGGGGCAAGGTCAGATGAGTCTGGGCATTTAAAACCTTTGAGATTGACATCACCTGGTCTTCCCAGACGATGATTGAGAACAATCCATGACACTGGCAGGTCTCAGCTTGGCAAAGGGGGCAGTGCATGCTATAAATTCTGCAGGGTGCCCAAACTTTTGCAGACGCCATTTTTTTGTTTTCTGGTTTTTTGAAAGTGTAAATGATGGAAATAAAATCTAAACTTTTGTTGACATATTATAAGAATGTCTAATCTGTAATTTGATGCCTTTTGGAGATTTTTCCATCTTTCCTTGGCTTCTTTATGCACATTAATACAAATTTTTAGCTGGGGTGCCCAAACTTTCAATCCCCACTGTAAATAGTACAATCCATGTGTGCAAGGGTAGTTTATTGGTAGTTTGATGGTTATACAGCAGTGCTTGTGGACTGCAAGTAGAGTCATTGAAGATGTGGCTGAACATGAACATGGCATTACAGAGAAGGCTGTTCTGTGAAATTGTCATTTAAATGTATTTCTATTGGCAGAGTGCAATGTTGAATGGTGTTTTATCCATCTTATGAGATGACATTTTATACACTTTTTGAAATGTATGTTTAAGATGTTGTTAAATCTCCTCACAGACAAGCCAATGTCCATAGCTAAGCAAAGTCTGGATTGACCCATCCAGTGGTCTTTCTTGGGACTCCTTAGGGCTTATCTATTTATTTATTTGGTTTTTAGTCACAACCTTCTCCAGCTCTCCTTATTTTCCTTCTTAATTCCTCAGTATGGTTTTTAGTTATATCTTTCTAAACACAGTGGTCAGAATACAAGCTTTTCCCCTGGATCATGAAGAGTTAGGAAGTCTGCCTTAGCCTAAGAACTGTCAGGGGAAAATATTTTTGTGATCATATTCTCTTCTTTAAATAGTACTGCTGTTCTGGAGGTATCTAGGACAGTGAGACTAATTAGAGTCATTTACCGTTTCACGTGGGGTCAGATATGTTTCACTGGAGAGAGACAGTGGTCAGAAGGTGGGGTGTCTTGTCTGTGGCAAAATCATCCTCCTGTCCACTCCTAACCCCACCCTGTCGCTCCCAAGCATGTCCCTGACGGCCTTGACTCCTTGCATATTAATCTGCTGGCTCCGGCTGCTCTTGTCACCATAGGAACGCCTACAACAGTCTCCTCAGTCACGATGAGTACCCTAAGACCTCCTCTCCTTAGTGACTTGTTTTTACAAATGTATATTCTACAATCAGGAAAATGTTAGTTTCCCAAGAAATATTTGACATTCCTGTTTTTTTTTCAGGTGTAAAGAGAGAAAGGTAGACGCAAAGGTTCCATAATTCACTATGGAAAATATCCAAGGGAAAAACTGGTAGCATGATTTGCTGCTATACATATTTTTAGTATGCAGACGGGAGCAGAGACTTGTTATTCAGCACACATTAATAAATGCTTTGACAGGTACAGCTGACAGCTCATCCGTGTCATTTATTTAATTGCAGACATCTCCTCCATGCCCTGAACTTTTCTTCTTTAAAATTTGGTGTTTTTTTCATATGTCTAACTGCTGGCCTGTCTGGAATGTTCCAGAGTTCAGAATTTTTGTATGTGTGCTGTGACAAGCTTTATTCCTTTCATTTATATGAATGTCTGTGCATATTCTTTGTGTATCTGTGTTTGGCCACCAGTAACAGGAATTTTTAGGCCAATTTACCATTACTAAGGGCCATTCTCAACCAGGGTTTTGTGGAAGTCTAGAGTTCCTCAAATGGTTGCTAGGGATTTCCTGAACTATGGTTAATTGATGTCCCATTTGATGGCGCATGAATAGTTTAAGAGCCTGTGCCACTTGACAGAGCCAGCTGCATAGCATAAATGATCTTTTTAACTGCCTATAAAGCTGACATTTTGAACACGGGTGTAAGGGTGGTCTTCCTCCCACTGACCATCACTGTAGGGGGCATTAGTGCTAGAGGTTCCTTGAGATGAGGCTACTTGACTTCTTATCTGATGATGCCTTCATATTTCCATCCACACTTGGTAGAACCATTAGCAGGATACCTATGATTTTTTCAGCTTACTGTAAGGTTGGCATTCTAATCACCACTGTAAAGGGGCATTCTTCCCATTGACCACCAGTGTATAAGGGAACTGGTGCTAAGGGGTTCCTTGACTTATTATTATTATACAGTATTTATAAAGCGCCAATGGTTCGCTCAGCGCTGTACATTACAAAGGGGGACAGAACATGTGACAGAACAATACCAATACAATGCAAAACATGAGGGGATCGAGGGCCCTGCTCTTTCGAGCTTACAATCTAGGAGATGTTGACTTCCTATCTAATGGTGCCTTCTTACTTCCAGTTCCATCCCCACTTGGTAGAGCCAGCAGCAGAACACTGATGATCTTTTTAGCTGAATGTAGGTGTGGCATTCTAACCACCACTGAAGGGGGGTGGTCATTCTTCTCACTGAACGGGTTCCCTGAGATATGAAAATGATTAATATTTTTTTTTATGGTGAATGCTTGGTTCTAGGTCCAATGCCAAATGATCTTTTTAGCTGTCTATAAGGGTTGCATTCTGACCACCACTGTAAGGGGTTTATTCTTCCCACTGGCCACCAATGTAAGGGGCATTTTTCCTACTGACACTCGATGAATTGGTTTTATCAGGGTTTCCCTGAGACCTGAAAATACATTTGAAAGGCTCCTCTGTGATGAGAAAATTGGGAATGGTGGGGTTAGAGAGTAGGCAGATAAAAAAAATACAGCTATCTAACCCAGTTACGGTATATATTCATTACAATATCCATAAAAGTACATACTATCATAAGCCTGTCTCTATTAGCTATTGTATTTCTCTGCACAGTAAAGGAAGAAGCAGACCATATCATACATTACAGAGTGTGCAGGGAGAACCCAGGACTGACCTCCTCGGTGCTTTGCTGTTATTTCACTATCCAATTGCAGGATGGGGCAGTACTTGACCAAGTTGTATTGCTTTAACTACAGTAGAGAAATGTGGGGTCAGAATCTCTGTGCTGACTAACAAGAGGTACTCCATTTGAAAACTAGCTGAACAAAATAAAGCTAGCCATACCCTGATCAGCACAGATGAATGAACCTTCTGTTGTGGCTATTATATTTGGACAGCCAGCCCCACCAACAAAAGTTGATTAAACGATTGATCTCACTGACTTGGCAAGTATTCAGATAAGGAGTTCTGGCTTTTCTTATGGCAACTTTTTCTAGATTCCTGACAGTTAAGCAACCAGCTTTTATTGAAGGCACTGGCAACCCACATATTTCTGTCATGCTAAATTTTCTTTACATTAAAAGTATGCAAAATCTTGAGGCACCCCAGTGTACAAATATAAATGTTACTTATCAGTTGGAAAGCTGAGCCTGGGATAATGCACACAACCACCCTGATGACATTAAGTTCGCCTCAGAAGATCCCCTGCACATCAGACATTCTTCCATCACATCAAAGGTCTCACTATGAAGGTTCCCCCCTTCACATCAGAGCCCCCCTTTACAACAAAGTTCCCACCATCACATCAGAAGTTTCCCATTATGTTATAGTTCCCCCCATCACATCAGAGTCTTTCCTTCAGGTCAGAGGCCCCTTTCACATCAGAGCCCTCCCCTATATTCAGAGGCTCCTCTGTTCATGAGAGTGGACTTCTGTCTTCTCCTGTATGCCACCTGCCCTGGATCGGAGTCATGTGTAGCCAGTGGCGGACTGACAACTCATGGGACAACTCAACACAAAACTCAAAAAAGCCTATGAAATAGGTACCAGGGGCATCTCATGGGGCCCCCTACTGACTCTGGACCCTCGGGCAGTGCCTGAGTTTCCAAATGGTCAGTCCGCCCCTGTGCGTAGCCATGGTGTGGGTGATCTGCTCACCACCACCAGAGCAAAAAAATACATTGTATGCCCTGGCCTTAGAATGTCATTGGTTGTTATGGTGCTGGCAGCTGGCCCGCCACCATCATGGCAACTCATGACGCTGATCCAGAGCAAGATGGGTCTGATGCTCGTAGCATCATGCAAAAAATTCAGACAGCGCCATGGTTTAGGAATACTACTCCAACCCATACAGGAGATTCAGAGTACCCCCTTATGTTGCATCTGTTCTAATCAGTTATATAGGAGGTAATATCATTGCTACAAATGAGAATAATATCAAATCAATGTATTGTTGCAGACTGGTTAAGTAACATGTATTATAATAAATGTGCTGCATTCACAGGAGAAGTGCACTGAATGGATTAGCCTTGAATGTCTCTATTATGTTTCCTGTATGTCCTATAACCTGGAGATCCATTAAACCGACCCTTTCAGAAAGAAAGGATAATGCAGTCCTGTGGAGAATAGAAGGCTCGCTATCGCCCTAGGCTATGGAAATGTCTTTTATGATGGAAAATGTGGAGTGAACACTGAGAGACCCAGCAAGCTGGGTTAGGGGAGTGTATGGACTGGGAATGTGCGGCCCTTGTAACCCCGACCCTGTGCTGATTCCAGTCAGCCTGGTGCCGAGGTTCAAGTTTCACTCTGGAGAATGAAAGTAGCCATATTTAGCATGAACTTGTACCGGCCACGAGGGAAGAGAAGGGAGGGGTGGAGGAAATAGCGGGGCTATAGAAAAAGACAGCAACCAATGTCTGAGAAGGAGAATTATCTGAGCTCTGCTGGAAAGGGACATCCATAGAAAGGCAATCTGCATTACCGTGCACTAAAATATACAGCAATTAGCCAGATTATTTGCCACCTGTTCCGCAGACGGGGTATGGCTTCTACAATTAGCTTGGTCAATGTAAAAGTGCATTATTGGGTGCTTTATATAGTCCTGAATAGCAGCAGGGGGGCACTTTAGGGTGATGGCTTATAAGTGTTAGCCTGCTATATTCCTGTCAGTAGCCGGCACATGACAGCGACGATACCACAAACACTCCAGATCGGCCATTCAGCCAAACGTATTGCGCTGCAGATCCAACAAATATGGGTTTGTTTCCCTACACTGGAGACAGTCCGAAGCATTCTTGCCTGTCTCTCCGGCTCTGTATTTAAAGGATTTCAAGTGGCGCAGTCTCCGCAACAAATTCTTGCATGGGGATACGTTTTTGCTAAGATTCGTTGGTACCATTAACTCCGCAGGGCCTTGCTCAAGGTAGACTCTTTCATTAGACCCTTGACAATGCAGTCCAGCACTTAGTTAGTTAATGATTTAGAAAAAAATGGCTTTTTCTGCTACTGTAAATCAAAGGTGGGTTCTTAACGATCAGATTAAGGGTGCCAGGGTTACAATAACATTTCTCTGTAGAAGGAGACGTGTTGTGACACAGCTGTGTAATAAACGTGTTCATGAGGTCAGTGCACCGCGCCACACGCAGAAAGAAATTCTGTCTGCTGTATATACATCTGTCTCTTCTATGAAACAAACCCTTTGTGATGGAGTTCTTCCTCGCCTTTATACACAACACTAACTTTAAAACAAAGCCAAATGTAGTCAGGCAGGACTGACCAAGCGTGGAGGTCGGCGGAATTTTTAAAAGTGTGGTCTTGTATAATAAATTGGTGGTGATTGCGAGTGCAGAAGAACGTAAAAGCAGATAGCATAAAAAGGTAACAGCTCAACACCTCAAAACTACAGTAAAAAATAATAAATATACAACGCTAGATTATTATTATTATACAGTGTTTATATAGCGGCAAAGGGTTTGCTCAGCGCTGTACATTAAAGTGGGGGACAGTACATGAGACAATACAGTCTAAGGTGCCTAACTCACATTCATACATACATATACAAGGGACAATTTAGACAGGATCCAATTAACCTACCAGCATGTCTTTGGAGTGTGGGAGGAAACCGGAAGAAACCCACGCAGGCACAGGGAGAACATGCAAACTCCAGGCAGGTGGTGCCGTGGTTGGGATTTGAAGCAATGACCCTAGTACTGCCAGGCAGAAGTGCTAACCATTTAGCCACTGTGCTATGACTTAATATTAGCCTTCTATAATTCCCTGTATGGCAGCGCTTCCATTGAGAGAGGAGGACCAAGACTAGGGATTGTTCAAGTGTTCTGCAGTACAAATGAGCAAGCAAGGAACATTCTGACTGAAGTATAGTGCCAAGTGAGTAGAGAGGTGACCCATCATACTAATATCTAATCACGGACTGGAGGCAAAGAGGTGACCTACCTGCATTGCTAAACTTCAATAGACAAAAGTCAAATCAATGTTCATTTTTGACCATTGTAACGAGAAAATTTGAAGGCGCAGGATGGGAAATTTTTCTCAAATGAGCACATTTTAAACAATATCTGAAGTTTTTGCCTGGGAAATGCCATTCACTCCAAAATCAATTGTAAAAGCAAAGAAATTTTACTTTGTCCTTTCGAACGACATTCATCAAGCCATCAAGGGTATTTTTGCACACAAATCTACTCTAGTGTATGGCCAATAGAGATGAGGGAATCGAACATGACGAAGTGGAATTCGTTCCGAAGATTTGGAAAAATTCTATTCGTGGCTATAACGTGGCTGTCAGTTTTATGTTTCTGTAACTGGAGTTTTGCTTAAGGACCGAATATTCAATGCTGCATAAGGCCACCTATGACAGCTTTGGTATGTATTATATTGAATTTATTTTTGTCTCCTGCTCAGGTCTTCCTCTCCAAAGATGACACAGCAGATGAAGGACCTCCAGCTGGCACAGACCAAGAAGCCACCAGGCCCCTCGTCGCCCAATGCTGCCAAGAGGCTGTACAGGAACCTGTCTGGGAAGTTCCGGGGTGAACTACACATCGTTCGATGAAAGCAGCTTGGCGGCACGAAATGAAAAGGAGAGGCTGCGGAAATCATGCCTTGTATGTCACATAAGATGATATGCAGATAAGATGCTGATGCAAGAAGGTTGATTTATGAATGGGCAATGAGGGTGTCAATCGCTTTTAAATTCATTTTTACACAACTATAGATACATGCATACCAAAAATGTATTTCACACTATAAAACTGGTGAAGTCTGCAGAACAGTGAAGATTTTTTTCCAGTGAGGAAATAGGCAAACTGGAGATTGTATGTCAAGTCATAAACTTTTTTTGTCTGGTTTTTGGATAGGGAGGGCAGGGATGAGTCTTGCTGTTCAAGAGTTCCCCTTTCTGTCTTGTAAAATGTTGATCACTGGCCAATAGGTATCATAAGACCAGTATCAGGACAGGATCCAGCACCCATGGCAAGATTGTGAAATTGCACATGATGTAGAATTGATATACCACTCTGCACCCATTCCCAGCCCCCTTGCTCCAGCTGCCCATGGTTGGCACTGAGTGTGTGTGGCTAATCACCTGTTTCCTCGAAGCTAGAAGGTAATTTCACATGCACTGTGTGTTTTTCGTACCAGCTGTGGATAGATAAGGAGTAGAATAAAAAACAAGGCTTTTTGCCTTGACTTATGTTGGGACTGCGCTGGCCAAGGCCACCCAGTGAAGTCCCTACTTGCTTGGTGTGAACAGGCTCAGAGAGAAGAATTGTCTCAGGCAGCCAATGCTGCACCAGAGCAACCAATCAGATCTCCCTCTTCACTTTAAAAGAGCAAAATCTGGTTGCTAGTCATATATTAGAGCATGTGGTGGGGGCCCCCTAACTAATGTGCCCAGGGCGGCTGTCCCTCCTGCCCATCCCTTGTAAAGCCCTGCATAGGGCAATGAATTGCTAAAACAGGAACTACATGTGTCACCAGTCTGTTTGTGCAATGTGAACAATATGTGTATATCACATGACTGTATAGAATTAAAATATTTCAGCAGGTAAATGGCAAGCATATAATGTATGTTTTAAACTGTGTATCTAACTTTCAATCTGGTGTTTCACGTTTTTCAGGTTTACTCACATAAGCCTTTTATTGTAGTTTCAGGGGAATTCTGCACTCTTTGAAGCAGTGGAAATGCAAGATCTTGATCGGGTACAAGAATTACTGAAGCAATACAGTGTGGAGGAGCTGGATCTCAACACACCGAATAGCGAGGGTCTGCTTCCACTAGATATAGCGATCATGACCAACAATGCACCCATAGCGAAGACATTACTGCAGGCCGGAGCAAAGGAGAGCCCACACTGTGAGTAATGTGCACGGAAGGGATGCTCCATTACCGCTACAGAGTTCTCTATGATGGGTTGTTATGCTAATAGTAGTGTAGCTTTGGTTTAAACCACACAGTTTATAGTTTAATTTATAACCCATTATTTCTTTGCAGACAATACTACTTCAGTGTTCTCCACTCTGTCTCTTCACTGCCTCATAATTTATACCAATGGCAACATTATTACGAGGCCTGTTTTTATAGGGCCACAGAACATAAATAACAGGTTGGTTTATGTGTAAATGTTTCAGTTTCTTACAAGTGAAGATATTTAAATGAAAACTCGGGGCAAAAATTATTATTATTATTATACAGTATATAGCGCCAAAAGGTTTGCTCAGCGCTGTACATTATGGTGGGGGACAGTACATAAGACAATACAGTAACAAAACAATACACAAGGGGTTCGAGGGCCCTGCTCCTGGGAGCTTACAGTCTAGGAGGGAGGGGATGGTGGTACAGGAGGAAGTGGCTGTGGGGGATGGAGTGGTAGGAGGAGTGGAGGAGATCGGCTGTTAGGTGAGGGTGGGGTAGGCTTCCCTGAAGAGATGGGTTTTCAGGGTGCTGCTAAAGGTGAGGAGGGTAGCTGACAGTCTGATGGATTGGGGTAGTTAGTTCCAGAGGATGGGGGAAGTCCTGGAGAAGTCCTTCAGTTGGGCATGGGAGGAGGAGACCAGGGAGCTGGAAAGTAGGAGGTCTTGTGAGGAGCGAAGAGTACGGGTTGGGTGGTATTTGAGTATCAGGTCGGTGAGGTAGTTTGGGGCAGTGTTTTGAATGGCTTTGTATGTCAATGTTAGTAGTTTGAATTTAATGCGTTGGGCAATCGGGAGCCAGTGGAGGGAATTACAGAGGGGGGGTGGCAGAAGCGGAGCGGTTGGTAAGGTGGATGAGTCTGGCCGCTGAGTTTAGGATAGACTGAAGCGGGGATAGCCTGTGTTGGGGTAGGCCGGTGAGAAGGGAGTTGCAGTAGTCCAGACATGAGATAATAAGGGAGTGAACGAGTTGTTTAGTAGTGTCTGGGGTTAGGAACGTACTTATCTTGGAGATGTTGCGGAGGTGGAGCCTGCATGAGTTTGCTAGCGATTGGACATGGGGTTGGAAGGACAGGTTTGAGTCTAGAGTGACACCTAGGACTTTGGCTTGCGGGGTGGGACTGATGGTGGTGTTGTTGGTTGTGATGGAGAGGATGGGGGGGGGGGCGCGGGCTGGGGGGAAAATTAGGAGCTTGGTTTTGGAAAGGTTCAATTTGAGGAAATGGAACGACATCCAGTCTGATATGTCGTTCAGTAGGTGGGTGATATGGGCGGAGACTGAAGGGGTGAGGTGAGGGGTGGAGAGGTAAATTTGCGTGTCATCGGCGTAGAGGTGATAGTTGGAGCTGTAAGAGTGTATCAATTTGCCGAGGGAGGCAATAAATAATTATTGCTTGCATTGGAGCTGTGCCTGCACTGCAAGGGTTCTTAGCTTGTTTTGTATAGAGGAGAGGAGAAACCATTTTACTTACCTGATCCTCCACTCTCCTGGCAGTCAGCGCTCCCCCCATGATCTAGCTGTGGATTGTCCCTTGGCATCCTCATGTCTAGTGCAGGGCTATGGACCCTACTCTGGTCTTGATGATGCTAGGACCCTAGACCGGGGGAATGTGGGGAAGCAAAAAGCTGCATGGACAGGTTTAGCTGCAGGGAGGAGCTAAGCATCAGGTAAGTAAATCTTCCTTTATTTTTCTCTTAGATTGGATAATGGGGTATCACCAATCCTCTTGTACAGGTCCCAGGCCAGCAGGGGGGCCCATGCAGGGGGCCCTGGGTGGGCAGGGAGGGGGATCGACATGGCAGGGGCCAATTACTGGAACTGATCCCTTTTAGGGCTCTCTCTGCAGCAGCTGAAAGCTAGCTTCTGCTCCTCTCCCTCCCACTGGCTTTCAGCTGCTGCAGAGAGAGCTATACAGGGGATCAGTTCCAGTAATTGCGCCCCCCCCCCCCCCGGGTGCACCCATCACCCTCCCTGTGCACCATACTTTTCCCCCTGCTGCCCAGGTCCCTCTTTTTGTCCCCACCCCCACATTGCTGCCGACTTTCCTCCTCTCCCACCCACCAGCAGCTGCAAGAACACAATACTTCAGGATTGAGAGAGGGAGAAATGGCTGGTAAATATGTCACATTTACCAGCCCCTTCCTTTCCTGAATGAACACAATGAGTGGTATGTGCCGATCACTCACTGTGTTCATGCATAACTGACACAAACCTTTTTTTTGGGGGGGGGGGGGTATCTGGTTGGCTGTATGGGGCCCTGTGCTTTCTAACAGCAGCCCTGGTCCTAGGCATCAACAAGCAATTAGCTCTTGCAGTGTGGGCACCACCCCATTGCAAGGGATATTTTTTTGTTTGCCTGGAGTTGGACTTTAAAGCTAAACTCCAGTTTTGCATGTAGATATAGCATTAGGGCCTTGTACATATGGGCATTAAAAGAAGAGAACTGAATATTTTGCTAATTGATTCTGAAAATCTCCCTGGTGGGGGAGGAGGCCCCATCTGATGCAGTAGACCAGTAACATTGGTCTGCACTGTCAAAACATTGAAAACAGCATTGAATCCTTCCAACCAACTCAATCTAAATTAGTGGTGTTTAAAAGAGGTTGGTATTCTAACACATATGCTGTGGAGCTGTCCCTTAATTAAGCAACTATGGGAAAAAGTAGTTTCAAGTTCCATACATCCGCATGCAGGCAATCCCATTCATGTCTATTGAAATGCAGCAGCTGCACAGACAAAGCAGCTGGTTACAATTTGACAGCAGTGCAGGTGTGTGTCTCTGAAAATACACCGTCTGCATTTGGTGGCCAGGTACCCGTATGGCTGACAAATTAGGACAAGCGGCAGGGCTGCTGTTAGTAACCACAGGGCCACATACAGCCAACATGACAGGGCCCCACTCCCCCCCCAAAAAACACAATTTACTAAGCTTTAGTTATGAACGACTACAGTGAATGATCGGTGCCAATCACTCACTGTATTCATTCTGGAAAGGAAGGGGCTGGTAAATGTGACATATTTACCGGACCTTTTCCCAGTCTCCATTCTGAAGGTGTGCTTGCACCTGCTGGTGGAAAGGAGAGGAGGGAAACACTGCGGGGTGGGGCAGAAAAGGGGGCCTGGGCAGCAGGAGGCAATTACAGGAACTGATCCCCTGTGCGGCTGTCTCTACAGCAGATGAAACCAGTGGGAGGGAGAGGAGAAGAAGCCCCACACCATGCTGATCACCCTCCCTGCCCACATCCGATTCACCTAGCTGCCTGAGCCCCCTGCTGGCCCAGGGCCACCTACAGGAAAACTGGTGGTATCCCCCTTATCCATGGCCTTGGCCAGTGACTTTGTCCATGCAGCAGCTATTTCCCAATTGTTATGAATAAGACTGCTTGTACGCAGATTTCACGGAACATCTGTGCATCCTATATGGGCAAAAATATCCCTTTGTGTGGGTGTATGGATAGGTATGCCCATGTGAATGAAGCCTTAGGGAATGGATAACCAAATATGCCATGTGATGAGGATGGAGGAACTGATTGTCCAACAACAAGACAGATACAATTCTTTTTGATCCAAAGTTAGTTACTGATGTACTCCTGCATTATTAAGTGATGTCTATCAAATACGGACCATACTATTTATATTGAATTCTGAAGATGTCCCCATTCCTCCTCTTTTTATTCTGTATCCCATGCTTTATTATATACTCCCAATAAAAATCAATTAACCTCCGTGGAGGTATTCTCAAGTGCAGTGCAGGGTAAAGTTTCAGTACCACAAGCGGTAACCCCGAGCTACACTTTGGCTTACCATGCTGCGCTGCTCCGGGATCCCTCAATCACTTACCTTGTCTTGCGCTCCCGCGATGTCCCTCCTGCAGTGTCCCCGGCAATGTAATCCGGCGGATGCCGGCATCTGTCATCTTTGTTCCGTCCCCTGCGAGCGTCGGGACATACGGGGGACAGAACGGCGGGAAATTTGAAAATGACAAAAAGTGACATTCACTAAAATCACATAGTAAAACATTACTGTGTCAAAGCATTTCACATACATTTTGTCCCGAGTGCTTTGTCCTGTGCCCTGCCTGCATTTTTACTGTTCTTTCTGCCTGGAAACTGAGAAACGTCCATGGCATCCAAAAAGCGTCCGTTTAGGTCAAAAGTGGTTTTAGACCAGCTAGAGAACAGCGATAGTAAATCAGAACCATTTGCAGAATTGAATGATAATGATTCGTGGGGAAATTCGTCATCAGACACTGAAAACGATTTTGCGACTTTGCTCAGTGATGTGCGAACTTGGCGTTATATTTCAAATTTCAGTGTTTTTGGTTTGATTATATTATTGAATTAAATTTATTATTATATTATTATTTTTTATGATTATTTATTAAATTATAATTTATGATTTCGTGTTTCAAGTTTTATCCTACCCGGGATGTTTACTAGACTCTTGTTCGGACAGATTTCAGTGAGTTATTCCTAAAAATTACAGGCCTACAATAAAAAAAAAACATATTTCCATGCAAAAAAATGTACCGCTTTGAGCACAGAAATATGGACATAATCATACCGCTAGGGAGATTAAGCAAAAAATAAACAAAACAAAAAACCTTACATTAACCCACCTAAACCTTTCGGTGGTCAAATCTCAGGTTGGAAAAGCTTTGACCCTTCTGGCTAGCGTCAGAGTTTGCTGATAAGCCCTGATTACATACCATCCTATCGGCCCATCACTTTGATGGGCAGCTTCACTATTCAGCAGGGATACCCAGGAGGCATGTAGGGGCAAGCAAGCTTTAGCAATGGCTTCACGAAGTGTCGAAATAGCCTGAGCTTTGTCCACGACTAGAAGCTTCCTGCACTTTATACCTGCAGCAGTTTTTCCCCTTCCCTCCAGAGACAGGGTCTTTTTAAGATGCTTTATGTAATTTTATATGCTTTAGCTGTAGATGGAAAACTAAAACTCATTTTCACAGAGCAACTGCTAAAAAAATCAGAAAACAGATGTTCTCACATCCCACTGTAATATAATTGTCAAACAAATTATTTTTCCATTAATTAAAGCAGAACCAATGCTGGTTAATGAGGATCTGGCAATCATGCTTTTTGGTTAGATTTCATTTCTCTTGCTGGAATGACTTGTGTTTCCTCTGTACTTCTCTATTGTCATCTTAAGCCGTAAACAGTGTGGATAGAAGAATCTCCACAGCCAGCTATTGTATTTAGCAGCTTGGCCCCTTTAACTACCTGAATACAATGGTGTTGTCCAACAGTGACTGCGTCTGATAGGGTACAATGACTGCTCAGACGATAATTTTCCACCTGTCTCAGTTGATTTTTAAATTGACTTCACCCAGTGCTTTCAGGGCCAACCATGGCTCATATGTTGGCAGATTCAGCACAAATCAGCTAATATTTGAGCCATCAATGGCCAGTCTTAGTTTTTATCACACCAGGAATGAGCTTTATACATAACAGTTTATACCATTTACCTGCCATATCTTACCCTTCCAGTTATGAGCTTGGAAAGCCGGTCGCTCCATCTGACCACACTGGTGCGGGAAGCTGAACAAAGAGTAAACGATCTCACTGCCCAAGTTGTTAACGAAGCTCCAAATGCAGATTGTTCGGAAAAAGAAAAGCAGCTGAAGTCTTGGGAGTGGCGATATCGGCTATACAAGCGCATGAAAGCGGGATTTGAGCATGCACGTAAGTCAGGTTCATTAAACACCGGCACTTGTCAAATTTTAATTGGCTTGTGCAACAGACATGCCTTGCAGAGCTCCAGTAAATCTTAATTAGTTCAGTGGGCAACTAAAAAACTGCAGTGTCCATATTCTTCTAGCAGTCTTGGATTTGATGTCTTTATTTTACATGAGTATATAGCAGCAGCTTATCACTTTCCAATTTACAAAGTCTGTTAGCATGCTGTCAGTCTATTGTCGCTACCACACTTGTCAGATCTTGACAGCACAGTCAACATCCTTTAAAGTCTATGGACACCCTAATATTGGAACAGTGTTGATTTTTATTGCCTGCTACCATGGTAAATAGAAAACATGCTGACAAACTGCTGCCATTGATGACCTTTCCTCTTCAATAGGTGCCATGCTTTTATGCCGATCCAGTCCCTACTTTCTGAGTCACTGTCCCATACCAGATCAGGAGTTCTAACTTCACTTTTTTTGTATCTCCTGGGCAAGGGCAGACTGACAACTGATGGGGCCCCCGGGCAATATGGGATCATTGGGCCCCTGTGTTCATGCCCAAATTCAAAAAAGCCTATGAAAAAGGTACCAGGGGCATCTCATGGGGCCCCCTACTGACCCACGGGCCCTGGGGCAGTGCCCGAGTTTCCAAATGGTCAGTCCGTTCCTGCTCCTGGGGACTCTGGTGATGAGAATTCTATGCTTGAGTTTCTGGGCAAATCTGTCAGGGACATTACAAGAGGGCCCCACTCTCCGCACTGGATATTTGGTTTATTTTTTATTATCTAGATCACAGGTGTCAAACACAAGGCCCGAGAGCCAAATCTGGCCCTCCAGGTCATTTCATGTGGCCCTCAAACCTCTCCTGCAGCTGTGACACTCCCTGGTCTCCACCTTGTCTCAGCAGTCAACAGATGAGAGGAGGACAGATCTCCTTCGCCAGATCCTGCTCTTCTCCATGCAGCCACAGGGAGTCTCATTTCTGCAATCCCTCACCCTTGGTCTCAGCAATTGGCAGCAGAGAGAAGGACAGAACTCATCCTACAGATCCTGCACATCTCTCTGCAGCCACAGCACCCCCTTTTCTCCACTTCCCCAGCAGACTTCAGCAGCTGACTCCAGCCCTCCTTTTGTCCTCCTCCAGACCCTGCACTTTTTGCTTCCCAGCTCCACCTCCAGCTTCTTCCCGGCGCAGCTGCACAAGGTAAGGGGGGTGCTCTGTGATGTAAGGTGGGGTGCTCTGGACATCTAGTCTTACAGATACAACCGGCCCTTTGAGGGCAATCATAATGCTGATTCGGCCCTCCATGAAATTGAGCTTGACACCCCTGATCTAGATTATAACAGAAGAAGAAGGAACATAAAAGACGGGTGTGAACAACCTAACGCCAAAATGTGCAGGAATACAGGAGCCAGGAACTATAAAAGAACGATCTCATGACTGAAGTCCCCTAAAGCTAAAAAAAAAAGAAACAGTGGTTGACTTAGCTCATCAGGTTCCACCTGTAACTGAAATATCAGTTTTGTACAGAGCAACCATTTAAGAAAGTTTTCTCTTTAGATTGGATCATAACTGTCTATAGTATAAGAAATCTTGGTCTGAGATGCAATATAACTGAGCTTTTTCTACTCACACTGGCAATTTGTTCTGCTCCATCCTGCAGGGGTTCCGGATCCTCCCACCAATGTTCGACTAGCGGTAACCAGCAGTACCACGCTGCAAGTGACATTCCAGGAGCCATTGAGTGTCAACTCTGCTGTTGTCACAAAATACAAAGGTAGCTGTTCCATGCAGTAAAAGTGCTTATGTTCTCCCAAGCTTTCATTTCTGTAAAAGTATTAGGCTAGATTCACACATTTGCAGTCTGTTGCACGCATATTAATGTGTGCTGTTCCCAGCATTAATGTTCAGTGCGATAAGGTAGTGGTAAGGCAGGCCTTTTAATGCATCTTCAGCTTTCTGTTTTCCATCACAGCACAATAGATGGTTCACATCTTTCCATAGTAGTATGCTGAAATGCAGGTCCCTTGCTGTGTCTGATGGAGTGTCAATTAAAATTAATTGCAGGGCAACACACCATAGTTTGAAATCAATGGGCTGCCAAAGCACAAAAAGATCCCAAACATCAGACATGTTAGAAAATTTCTAATGCAGTGCACCAGGGGCGGACTGACAACTCATGGAGTCCTGGGCAATAGGAGATTATGGGGCTCCTGTGTGCTCACTGTGACGGGAGTTACTTTGGGTGGGGGGCCCATGGAATGCAGCTCACTTTGGAGGGGTGGGGAGACCCCTGTCTCAGCTCCCCATATCCCTCTTATGTGTAAGTCACCCTGTGCCTGTTAGGGGTGCAGGGTGAAATGTCCTGTTATTGTGTAGACATGTATAGGTGGGGGTTGTTCATTGTTTAATGCCATGTGGTGGTATCCCATTGTTCTATTGTGTGTCTTGCTTGGGAGCAAACTATTATGGGATGTATATGTTTGTGTATTGGCTTGGTGGGGGGTGTCTGCTGATGTGTTTCTTGTTGCTAGATTTGGTTTGCCCCACCTTGTGTCCTTATGCAGGGAGGGGAGAATTGTTCCCTTGAATGTATATATCTTGTATCTGTGTTAAAATAAAGCAGTCTTTTTCCTGGTTTATTTCAAGAGTGGTGTCCGTGGATTTGTGTTCAGACAGGGAAGCAGGAGTCTAACGGAAATACCCTAGTGCCGTCGGGGTCCGGTTCCGTTACACTCACCCACACTCAAACCACACCCAAAAAAAAGGTACTAGGGGCATCTGATGGTGCCCCCTACTGACTCTAGGCCCTCAGGCAATGCCCGAGTGCCCGAATGATCAGTCTGCCCCTGCAGTGCACTATGGTGCATTGCTGTCATTAGGACACGCAGCAGCACGTGCATTGCCTTCGTGAGTTGGGGTGCCATTCAGAGTGAACGGTACTGCAATGCAGCAACGATTGTAACATTCCCGCAATGCAAGGATGTAAGCGGGCCATTAATGTTTGTGATTAAAACAAATGCTAAGGGTCTTCCTGAATTCATTATTTTCATAACATATACCTGTCCTAATCTTTTCTCATAATGCAGGTTTACAGCTGTATAGTAAATTTAACTTCTACTCTTTGCTATTGCTTTTGTCAGATTTTATTGATAACAGTTAGTTACTAATTTGGCACAGCTGTAAATATGTAATATAGAAATAATTGCACACTGTGGAGTCTATACATGTCTCTTTTGTCCAGAATGGCCTCCGGATTAATGAAGGAAAAGACCCATTAGAAATGTATCCTTGGTCCCATTTCCTTTTATAGATTTTGTATTATGTAATGCACTATATGTTTCTTTGCAGTGGAATGGAGCTTATCATCTTCATTCTCTCCAAATGTGGGAGAGGTGGTTATCGAGAAGCTGAGAAACTTGCAGTTTAACATCAGAGGTCTTGTTTCAGTAAGTAACCCATTGCTTATTTACAGTATGATGGTAGATGCAAAGGAGCTAACTGACTATGGGACTAGTCTTACCCTGATCTTTGTTACTTCATTCACTATATCTGGTCTCCTAGGACCCTGCATTCACTATATCTGGTCTCCCCAGACCCTGCATTCACTATATCTGGTCTCCCCGGACCCTGCATTCGCTATATCTGGTCTCCCTGGACCCTGCATTCACTATATCTGGTCTCCCCGGACCCTGCATTCGCTATATCTGGTCTCCCTGGACCCCGCATCCACTATATCTGGTCTCCCCGGACCCTGCATTCACTATATCTGGTCTCCCCGGACCCTGCATTCGCTATATCTGGTCTCCCTGGACCCTGCATTCACTATATCTGGTCTCCCCGGACCCTGCATTCGCTATATCTGGTCTCCCTGGACCCCGCATCCACTATATCTGGTCTCCCCGGACCCTGCATTCACTATATCTGGTCTCCCCAGACCCTGCATTCACTGTATCTGGTCTCCCCGGACCCTTCATTCACTATATCTGGTCTCCCCAGACCCTGCATTCACTATATCTGGTCTCCCCGGACCCTGCATTCACTATATCTGGTCTCCCACAGTACACAGAACATGGAAATGCAATTATTTTAGAAAATATAAACTGCTAAATACCTTTTCTCATCAGCAGTATATAGCAGTCTTGTGACTTCTTTCAGTGTCCAGCTGAGCACTGGTTAAAGCTTGTTAGAGGAGTTTTCATTCTCCTGTAGGGGGATGGAGGATCCCTCACCCTCTGTCTGGACAGTGCCGATCACATGCACTCTCCCAAGCAAAAAAACACTCTCTAGTAATACACACCAAACTGAGCATGTGCAGAGTGACTCCAAACCTCTGTTCTATCAGGAGATATTTAGGGGACAATGAATGAAGGGGAGGATCAGAGAAGACAGGATCAAACATCCTTTTTACACAATGTACAGTATTAACCCCTTAGGTTCCACAGTGAGTATAACAAGCATGCTTTACTGCATTTACAGACTGATTTTACACTTGTGGGTTTAGTAACTTTTTGTAAGAAGTCACTTGGAATGAAGATTTGTTCATTTTTGAATTTGTCACGTTTGGACTGATCAATTTTTTTTTTTTTTTATTTATTGCAATGGTCACTTATTATTTGGATATAATTTGTTTCACGCTAACACAAAGGACTTTATCACTAATGTATACTTTTTGAAAGATAATTGTTTTTATTACATGTTATAATAGATTTAGGAGCGCGGCACTATTGTTTGTAATTACACTTGTGGGTTTAGTAACACTTTAACTTCAAGTGCCCTCTCAGGTTCAGAAGAGATGTTATAAAAACTGGATTTTGCCCTAAATGTTATAGGATGTTTGAAGTGAACAAGGACAAGGATGCAAGTTACTCTTTTAGTAAATTAGCCGCAAAACCAAGTTAGCTGTCATTTTTTACTAAAAGTGATGTAATTCTTTTTCCATGTCTTTGTTACAGCCATAATTGAGCTTAAAGTAGACCTATAATCTAAATTCAGTGTTACCCAGTTAAAGATCTATGGTATATGGCCAAACATTTATATACCATCAATCCTAAAAGAGCTTGAGCATGGACAACCCATTTCAAATCCATATGCATTAATATGGCATTAACCCTCTTCCTTTGTGGCTTTTACCCCGTCCACTCTTACGGTAAGGCTTTCCACAAGATTTTGGAGTGTTTAGGGAAATGTGTGCCCATGGAAATGTGTGCCCATGGAAATGTGTGCCCATGGAAATGGCCCATGGAAATGTGTGCCCATTCATTCAGGCAAAACAGCATTTGTGAGGTCAGGTAGCGATGTTGAATGAAAAGACCAAAGCTCTGTGCAGGACACTTGAGTTCCTCCACACCAAACTCTTCAAACCATGTCTTTATGAAGTAGGTTTGTAGACAGGAGCACAGTCACGCTGGAAGAGAAAATGACTTCAACAAACTGTAGTAACCATGTTGGAAGCGTAAAATTGTCTGCACTATGTGTACCCTTCACTGGATATACAGTAACCATAATTTGTAGGGGGGTCACATGCTTTTGGCCTTGTGGTAGGTGTGATGGATCTACAGGCCCTCTTGCTATGAGCGTGTTCCTTTCACAGCCGAAATCCAGATCTGTAAGCTGAAGTCTCCTCACATCAATCATTCACTGTAACAATTTGTGGTTGATTAAAATTGTTGTGGCTGTCAATGAATCTTACACAAAGCCCTTTTGTAGAGGATTATCTACCCTTAATGTTTGCTTTGATGACAACTCAAAAATTTTGGATTTTCCCTCACTTTTTGGTAAGGCAAAAAGCCACCACGGGAGCAGCACTTTCTGTACCACAAAGTAGCATTTCTTTTCCTTTGTTCTCTTGGACACAATCATTTGAAAATGAACATTTTATTGAAGTTTTTTTGTTGAGTTGGCAAGAGTTAAGCTGGCCATAGATGGATTGAATCTTGGCTGGTTCAGTAAGGACCTACCGAGAATCAATCCATCTATGGGCAGGCTGGTTGTACCCAAGTTGATCCATCAATCAAATTGGGGACAACCAACCTGTCAGATTTTTTAAATGTGATTACTGCTGGAGGCTATAGCAATAAAGCTGCAGGAGTGATTCTCCTGTGTTGTGTTGATGGGGGAAATCAAGCAATTTTCTTTCTTTTCATCTCTGGTGGAAGGAAAGAAAATCACATAATTATGGCCTGCTTTAAAAACTCCGTTTTTTTATTGTCATCTCCTACCTTATAGATTTCACCTAACTTCTTATCAATATGATAGCCCAGTGACAGCAAGGCAAGAACTGTGATAGGAATACATAAACATTAATAATAACCTGACCAAGCTTCTAAGACCAAGACCAAGAAGAACTTCCTCTCTGTCCTGGAAATGAGGGGAAACCCATCCAATGAGGTCACAGACAGCAGAAAAAGTTGGTAGACATTCTATCCATATCTTGGTCTGTCCAAAAACTAAAAAGAAAAAAAAGATTTGGGCTGCAGTTGGGCTTTAATTAGGTTTCCTCAGTGCTTTACCTACATTTAGCCAAGGAGCCTAATTCCTACACTTCAATAATTAAAGGGTTGAGTTGGCAGCTTTTCCAATGATGCCATTTCTAAACTTTGAGCAGAGATACTGGACCCCAGTCATTTATTCACCCCAGTGTAATAGGTCAATGAGAGTGTCAAATGAAAAATCCAAATTCTTTTCTGTTCTACTGGTTACAACAAGCAAGGCAAAGGGCAGCCAGTGCGTTTCAGGGGTCACACACAATCCCTCTTCACTCCAGTCCAGTTGTGTGAACTTGGCTCATAGCTCTGTACTACATCAGAGAGCAAAGGACCTTTATTTCTAGACAGAGAGCTGACACTGTGTGTGGTGTTAGGGTACTGGTGACAATGCACTGTAAACAGTACATTGCACTTTTCTTTTTTTTTACAAACTTTATTGAAATGTGCCAAAGTTTCATCAGAGTGTTACTAAACCCACAACAGTAAAATCAGTCTCTATATGCAGTAAAGCATGCTTATTATACTCACTGTGGAACCTAAGGGGTTAATCCTCTGCATTGTGTAAAAAAAAAAAAAAAAGATGTTTGATCCTCTCTTCTCTGATCCTCCCCTACTTCTACTGTCCCTAATCCGTTTGCTGACAGCACAGAGCCTTGTGGGCAAGCTGCACGTGCTCAGTTTGGTGTATATTGCTATATTGCTAGTTTTTTCTTGGGAGAGTGCATGTGATCAGCACAGGGCCAATTAGTGCTGTTCAGAAAGAGTCAGAGGTCATGCAGCCTCATAGGACAATCAGGGGAGAATGAAAACTCCTCCTACAAGTTGTAACCAGTGCTCTGCTGGACACTGACAGAAGTTACAAGGCTGCTCTAACTGCTGATGAGAAAAGATATTTAGCAGTTTATGTTTACTAAAATAATTTTATTTCTATGTTCTGTGTACTGTGGGAGACCAGATATAGTGACTGCAGGGTCCTGAGTTTAGTAATACTGTAAGTTCTATTGGCCACAACATGGTGCAATGTGGTGGGTTGTGTCTCAGCACACTTAACTGTTCTCCCTGTGCTTGCGTGGGTTTCCTCTCACACTCCTAAGACATGCTGGTAGGTTAATTGGATCCTGCCTAAATTGTCCCTATTATGTGTATGAATGTGAGTGCGGGGCCTTAGATTGTACGCCCCTTGACTGATGTGAATGTACAATATATATGTAAAGCACTGCGTAAATTGACGGCGCTATATAAGTACCTGAAATAAATAAATTAACTGAAAAAAGTACTACCTGCCATCAACTGGCATAATAAGAAACAAGGCTTTTTGCCTTGACTTATGTTGGGATTGCGCTGGCCAAGGCCACCCAGTGAAGTCCATACTTGCTTGGTGTGAACAGGCTCAGAGAGAAGAATTGTCTCAGGCAGCCAAAGCTGCATCAGAGCAACCAATCAGATCTCCCTCTTCCCTTTAAAAGAGCAAAATCAAGAATCTAATTGGTTGCTGTGGGCCAACACAAGCTGAGAAAACGCTTTTCTCTGCCACTTTGATGAAGCCAATTATTTTTTTTTAGAATAACCTACCAACAGAGGTGAAACCTCAAGACACACTGCTACCTCTTTCTCACACAGCCATGTGTGAAACAATGGGTAAAGTTGGTCAGGAAAGAACTCTTTTTTATAGATTATGTAGTTAGGGGGCTCTGGGGCTTCCCCTAGGTCATAATCATTATGCTGACTGTAACAGACAACGGCATATTCTTACCAGAGCCGTCCTGTCTGCCTGTGCAGTCATTCTGAAGTGCAGACAGTGGCGTAGCAGATGGGCTGTAGACGATGCAGCAGGTGAATGCTGATTTACAAGTCTTTGATATGTTCCCTGGCATGGGAAACAATTACAAGGCTCTCAATGACATCTCAAGCAGCCCAGCTCATTTAGAGACAGCGCAACATCAGTGTAATTTCAGAAACTC